GACAAATGTGTAACTGGATATATACTTGTTTCATTTTTTTAAAAAGAACTAATTATGCTTGCAGAATAGAAGAGAAATACTAACACATTTACAGGTTAGACTAAACAACAGGCAAGGTCAACTGTTTGGCAAGCAAATCTGGACTCCATAGCTAAAACATTTTAAGGAAGTTTACTAAAGGAGGATCAGAAATCTTTATTGCATGTCGTATATAATGCCAGACAAATTCTTGGCAGATACTATTTTGTATTTTAATGTTTTTAAGTCAATATAAAACTGTGAAGGCTTCATTTTAACAAAGAAATTTTGAGTAATTTTTGGCACATTTTCTTCTCAAATATGTCTTGAAAAGTTGATTAATTTTGGTTCAAAACAATAACACGTTATAAAAAATAACTTTTAGAGAGAAAATAGATTGAATTAATCTAAGACTGCAAAAGGTAGAATGGGCTGAAAAGCTAGCAAGTGTTAAAAAATCACGAGGACACTGGGAATGAAAGTACACAATGGAATCTAATAATCTCCATGACAATTTTTATATAATCATTACATATTTTTGCATATAATAATAATAATCTCTTTTTCACATATTTCATTAAGGCATCAAATACAATACTGAATTCTTATATAAGATGTCCCTTCTCCCTACAGATCTCGTCTCTCTTCAATCATCACAGCTAAAATAAAGCTTCTAGCTCTTTCCTGCAAAGCAGTTAAGAAAAATCAGCCCCATTTTCCCTGTTTTACAGCCAGGAAAACAAGACTTGCAGAAGTACAGCAAGGAATGCCCATCTCTCTTCTGACTTTCATTCCAAAAGCAAGGCATTTCAAGTAAGAGTGCTCCCAGAGTACGTGAGCACATTTTTCATTGCAAAGACTGAATGCAACTAATTAGGTCAAACTATTATGCTTAAAGATTATGTCCTACCCACTTGTTTAATACTTTCATTAATCTCTGGAGTAAGAACAAGAAAGAACAGTTATTCTTTAAATACAATTCCAGAAAACACTGTGTGCGCTTGTGCAGTGTGATCATGAACAAGTCCTCTAGTGTTGAAAGAATTCAGGGCAAATACCAAGAAAAATACATGTACTCACTCTGCATCAGCCAACAAAACGCAGCTGTGTGCTGTTAAATGCAATCAGTGAAACAAACGTGGCATGCTTGGAACAGCAGTAACTGCGTGGGCTAGTGAAAAAGAGTCCACTCTTATGCAGGAGCATTTAATGGGGTTTTTTCAGGCTCTCATCTGCACTTACACTCAAGGATCCCAAAGTCCCTTCATCTGATCTCCTCTACACCAGCGTTTTGGGGCCATTGCATCAGACAGGTCTGCAAATAGCTTCAAATCAGTCCAGACAAGCTCAAGTATGGCAATAACCCAAGTTGATGGAAACTGTATTCAAGCATAGTTTTACTTGTACTTTATTCAAAGGTGAGTGTCCTGCCCATCAGCCCTGGCACACTCACTGGCACACTCTGAATGGTAGCATCTTCCCCCTGCTTTGAAAAAGTATTACTATGTATGATGCAAAGTATTATAAAATGAAACAAACTGTTCTGCTGATTTGCATAAGAGCCTTGAACTTGAAATATGGAGTGAGAAAATAAGTAAAGTAAAAAACTCTCAGGAAACAACCCTGAATAACAGTTGGCATCTAAAGACTGAAAAGGGTATCAGCAGAAAAGGGGAAGACTGGTTGCTCATTGACTGATTACTTTACATACATTACTCTCACTAGAGAGTAGTAACAACATATTTATAGAAGATAGAATACATGGTTTGAGTGAAGGAAGGGGAGAAGAAAGGTGGAGAAGGATAAAACAGGACTACTGGTATTTTAAAACTCCTTTGTGGGCCCAGGTTCTGCTACTCAAATGTCCTGTGACGTTCCTGTTACTTTCATCCCTTCCATCTTCCTGTATTTAACAAGAAAAATGCTCTTTATTGCCATCACTCAGCCCATTACTGTGGGCTTAAATAAATCCATTTGTTCCATATCTTTTATTTGCATCAGAATTCAGGAGAGCTCAAAAAAAGCACAGCCTGAAATACAGAAGAAATGTCTCTCAGTACCTTGGTAAGTGAAGTTAAATGAGTTCAATGACCACAGTGAACACCACTGATTCAAGCCCCAGTTACTACAGGTGGATGCTATACAAACTCTGTAACCACGGAGTTTGGTAAATCACCAGCCTGAAATATGGCTGCTTGCCCAATACAGCATCTTTCTAAACACATGGCCAAACATATGACACTGCTTGGTACAGGACAAGCTCCACATGTCCCTCTTCACTGAAATTTAACATTTGATGTTTGGTTTTCCTGATCACCTTTTATTGGAATTGTACAAAACCCAAAACCAACCAATCAAACCAAACAAAAATCCCCACCTGAAGCCCCAGCAATCTGCTAGTAATGAATTAACTTGCACTTTGTCTTCCTGGTCAAACTAAGTGCTGAGACAGAAAACGTTTGTACTGAAAAGTTAATCTATAAATTGCCCTCTATCAATGCAGCAGTCACCTGAAAGCTGATGCCAAAACAACTCCGAGGAACAGTTCCTCTTCTTTTATGCAGAAATTTTTGACTCATTCAAAAGCACTGAGATACAAACAGCTAGAAATCAACTCTAGTTTTCAAGGGAAAAAGCAATCTCTGAACAATGAGATGACTAGAAATCTAATTCAGTGAGGTATTTCAGGAGTATTTTCTGATCTATAACTTACCTCTTTGAATTTGTGAGCAAGTTTGCTGGTGTCCACATCACTGGGGGAGAACATGTCATCATTTTCAGGGAGATCAAAGACTTCAATGGCCATGTCACCTCCTGGAAGGACAGGTCCCATGTCTTCATCTTCTTCATCTGTAGCATATTCCCCTGTCTTAATTTTATAGCATTTAAGAAATTCCAGTTATCCTCTTATTAGGCAGAGACTGTTCAAAGAGTAATTAAGCTACTGTACAAACACAGCATTCTGTATACAAAAAAAGCTTATCTTTTTCTTTAGCTATAACCCTACTTAGGAATTCTAACAAACAAAATATAACTCCACAGTAGTATCTCCGTACTTTAAGAGAGAGGAGAATGCAGTGTCTTAAGCATTAGGAACTTAATTCTTAAGCATTATTGGCTCTAATTACAATGGTTTCATCATTTTCCAAGTGAGACCTCTTTTCCAATGGAAGAAGTCTTCAAATTTATTTCAGATTTAACAAGGAATCTTTTCCAAACAGAAATTAAAGCAGAAGAGGACTGACAGGATCTCGACTAGACTTTTGGGAAATCATCTGGAGGAAGTAATTCTCCAGTGATATTCCATGTTGAATTTGAAAATTAATTGGCTTGATCTTTATAAACAAATTAACTATAGGAAAGTCACACCCACAGAGAAAGACAACAGTAGGAAAAAGAAACTGAGTGTCAGAGACAAGTTCAGACACAAGTCAGAGTTTACTCAATTTTCACCCTGAATAAAGAGCTGCTTTGAGCTAATTTCAAACAGCAAATGTGGGTGTTTCTTGGGCTGGTAAATCATGAGATGTGAACAATTTGCTGACAAAACAGAATTTTAAAAAGTCGTAAGCTGCAATCAGTACCTGAAGAGTAAACAAAATAACATAAAACAGCAATACTGAAAAGAAGAAGCTTACACTATTGAACCTCAAGTTGCCTAGACAATCTTTTGCACATACCCCTGTGCTCATCTCTCCCCATACCTAAGGTGGATGGCACCACTTTGCTTCCATGAGGTTCCCTCTGAAAGCTGTAGTATATTGTGTATGGATCACAAATAACCTGCTGGTTGTTCAAGTGGCTGTGCAACTATATTATGAAGCTAACACTTCCCTCAGGGCCACATCTGGATTTATAAAGCCTGGGACTCAATAAATACATGGAAAAGGAAGGGTGGGGGAAGATGTGTCCTCCTTCTCATACTTATATGCTAACAACACTAAAGTGTTGATAGAACTGCTCAAGTTTTTGCTCATGAGCTTTCAGTTTCTGAGATGAAGACACGTATTATTATCTGAAGTATATTCCTCATAGTGCTAAAATTATCTATTAGTGCCTTTTTTGACAAAAGGACTTTTCAAAACAAGAGGTGAGCACTCAGATATTTTAACAACAGTTCAAATTTCAGCTTCCCACCTTAATTTAGTTTCCCAGCTCTTGTTTAGGCTTATGTGAATCTCTCTCAGCTAAAAAAGCAGTACATAAAAGCATGTTCAGTCTAGGTGTACAAGTATACACAAACAGAAAAAGGTACATGTGTGAGTCCAACAACAGGGTGATATACCTACAATAAAACATCACCATTACCCAGAAAAACAGCACATAGAATCATAGAATGGTTTGGGTTAGGAGGGACCTTCAAAGATCATGAAAAATCTCTACTTTTCTTTTTTAAAACCACTAAAATTTTAAAAAGCAAAGAAAGCCAAAACACACAGAAAGCATAAAGTTATTTAGGAAAATTTTCTGATCTTAAAGGAATTAGTAAAAAGAAGGTAAGCCACCAACATGCACAACTTTAAATGCCACTGTTAGTGCAAGGCACTTTTTAGGTAAGTTATCTCTGTCTCCATAAATAGCAATATATTCTCCAATGAAATAAGCAGTAACCATTTATTTTATATAGTTCATATGTACTAAAAATATATGACTAAGAATCTCCACAGTCTTTAACAAAAAAAGTTAACAGCTGGGCTTGCTTCTATTTTTTCCTTACTTAAACCAGAAGCAAAGAACACATAATCCATCTCATTGGGGTTTTTGAGCATGTTAGCACTACAGCTAAACAAAACAACACCTGAAATTATCTTTTTGTACATCTGGATCTTGTACATACACACAAAATCTTCTGTCACACTACACTTGTAGTAACTTCTGTTCCTGTTTTATTCCCTGTGGCTATGTGCAGTTACTGTCCCAACAGATAATTTAGCTACTCACTCCCCATGCCTTTTCCAGGAGCATATAACATCACCTTCACACACCATCAGGGCAATCAGAAGTGAAACAACTAACTCTAAAAATCCCAGCAAGATTTCAATAAAATGAATTATTGCAGGGACAAAATACTAACAAGCCATGTACTGTCAGTTTTGCAGTCGTTATCCCTGAAAAATCTGTAAGGCAATATACAACTATAAATTCTACATTAAAAAAAAAAAGTCTTGGCAGGTCCATCAGCAGTGGCAAGGAAACCTCTGAAGCATGCAAAGAGGAGGCAGAAATAGGATTGTTAACCACAAAACTCCTGCCCTGATTACATTAAAAATCCCAGATCTGGCTCAGCTACATGTGTATTTGAAGGGAATATATTAATGTAATGCAAAATCCTAATTACATGTTCCAATTTTGGCAAAAGAATAAACCATATGAATTTAGTTAAAAATGGTTTATCCAAAGACTTAAACTGGAAAGTAGTACCACATACAAAAATAAAAATAAATACACATGAAGAACTAAATTATTAGGGAAAAAACACAACAACAAGCAATATTCTCCTGAGCTCAGGAGCCAGAGTGTCTGAAGAGGAACATCAGGCAACTACAAACAAATACAAAGGAAAATCTTGCTTCAAACTGTACATAATGAGTGTCAATGGGCACAGTCATTTTTGTTTCAATTAATTAAAGAAGTAGTTGTCAAAGCAAAGCACAGCTCAGGTAAACAAGGCAGCAGGGCGACACAAACACATTACAGAACACAGAGATAAATGGGAATTTTGCTTTCATCTTCAAAAGGAAGGGACTTACTCTTACAGACACATGAAAATCAAATTACAGGTTCAAAAGAACCAATGTGTACATTACGGAAATATACGTCATAAACTACATGAAACATACTTTCCCTGAAAAAATTATCTCTGCTGACTTCCTGTTCACATGAAACTACCAGAAGGCTGCTCAGACATTGTGCCAGTGAGATAGAATGGGAAATACGTTATTTTACAAAAAGCAGCAAGGCACAGAAAAAAGTTGTGTTACTTTGAAACAACAAAGCCCTGTAAGGTAACAGTTGTTATTGTAGCTCCCTGAGGTTCCCTGCAATACGTGTTGTTTTCTTAGCTGACAACAACAATAATATTTTTTTACTCAATAGTCAATGAAAACTTACATGCTCTTGAAGGAAAATCTCGGACTCTTCATTCTGTGTTGGTGAGCAAAATTCATCCGTGCAAAAGCCCTATTTCTCATTTCAGTAGCATCTAGGGCTTACGCTTATCCCATCCACAGCAACAGCTTCTGGTATTAGCCATTCAATTTTGCTATATGCTATCACAGCTAATAGCATGAAATTATCTTTATAAACATGAACGGCAATTTTCCACTTGTGAAGGGAGAATGTGTTACTTGCATTGTTTAGCTGCATTTTAAGTTCCTGAAATGGGCCTAATACTCCCAAGCCAAAAGAAGGAGCAGCAGCATAGCCAGGATAATGCAGGCAGACCTTCCCCACATCACCATAACAAAGGTCTGCTCTGCTGAAACTCTCCCACAATCAGGGAACACCATTTGAAGAATTGCGAAAATAACCCAAGCCCACCTCTTCATTTGATTTTTTTGATGGCTTACACTTAATTCTTTCAAAAGAGCAAAGAAAAATATAATGGTATAGTATCAATCATTACTTTCACAGGAGTGATTCATATTAATGATGCTGGAAAAAACACACTCTGAACTGCTGAAACTCTCCCACAATCAGGGAACACCATTTGAAGAATTGCGAAAATAACCCAAGCCCACCTCTTCATTTGATTTTTTTGATGGCTTACACTTAATTCTTTCAAAAGAGCAAAGAAAAATATAATGGTATAGTATCAATCATTACTTTCACAGGAGTGATTCATATTAATGATGCTGGAAAAAACACACTCTGAAAGATCTGGTTTAGCAAATGTATACTTCGGGTATTAGACATTCAAGCACATTGCAACATTTTTCTTTTTGTGTGTGTCAAGATTTTCTTCAATGGTTCTAACGTTGCTTTGCTCTCAGAATGTCCTGATGAATGAGAATTTAAAATGAAAAAATATTCATCTGTCTAATAGTGATATTAAGATGTAGTAAAACATCACTTGCATTAACCCACTTGTCCATGGCCACAAAGTGAACAGAGTCCTGCAATATGTTATTAATTTCACATTCTGCATCACCATATGCATCCTTCAGGGGAATAGGTTATCTGCTGCCTTGTGACATTTGCCACTCACCATAGAACATGAGGAAGATAATACCATGTTCAAATCAAAATTCCAAGAAATGGCAGCATTTGACTCAGATGTGAACAGAACACCATGTTAACACAAGGAATTCAAAAGGTTTCAGTCAAGGGTACAGATTCAGGTCACACTTAGCACGCTAAGTAGGAAATACAAAGGCAGTGCCTACTTCAAAGCCTTTGAGTTTTATTTTCTGAACGGATACAACAAATTAAAAGGATGTGGGATTTTAGGAAGCTAGACAAACTGGTAAACCCTGCAGCAGGCTATCTAGAGGCAACATACTCTTTCAGCTCTACTGTAGTTAGGACCGGCTCATTGGGAAATGCCAATGCTGCCTATTGTACGTAGTATTTGAGAAATAAGTGATACTACTGACTCTGCTTGGCTCCTAGGAGCTCCTGTGAGCTGTTGCACACTTATCCTGCTAGTCTTTGCACGGACCCCATCATCAGCATCTCTTTTGCTTTAGTGCTCATCAGTTCTGCACAAGGTTTTTGTGTTGCCATGCAAAAACCTAAATGAAGGAGCATCTGAAAGCATCCTGCAACCCTGTGACAACCTGCAGCCCATGGTAACAGCAGATTCTGAAATGCAGGGATTCAGAGCATTTATGTAGTAAATGATGTACTTTTTTTTCAGTATTACTTATATAGTAAATGATATATCTTTTAGAAACGTTATGTGTATTAGTGTGAATCTTTCCCAACAAATAGCTGTCATGTAACACTCCTGCAAGGCAATGGAACGAGAAGTTACATCAGGCTAACATGGGTCTCTAGATTTAGTATCTTAACTCAAGTGCATTGCACACTGGGTGACAGAAATCAAGATTGTCTAAAAATGCTGCTTCTGTTAAAGAACTTGAATCTTTCAAAAATACCTAAGTGCTGCTTGGGCTATGAAGACTGTCTTAAGTTTCAAAGCAGAGGAAATCCAGCCAGATGGTGGCACAGCAAGATAAAACACCAGAACTTGACCATGCCTGGCACACACTCTCTTCCTGTGATTTGACCAGTTCTAGCAAACAGTCATGTGTAGTGACTCAGGACTCAAACACAGATCACTGATTTCCTGCTCTGGAAAACTGGTATGTTACTGCTGCCCTTGTGGTAAAGTCTCTGGGGCCCACAATTCAACAGTCTCAATGGAGGGCTGAATTAAGATAATTTCCTTGTTTATTTATGCTGCTCTGTAGCTGGAGATCCATGTTACCATATTTTAACAACTGTATGGAAACGAATAGGATGATTTGACAGCTCTGAGACTGAGCCACTCCTGTATAACTCTGTGTCATCTCAACCTGAAACTCTTTATTCTGGCAATCCAGAAACTCCTGAACTTTGTGCAGTCAGAATCACTATCACATTGATGAAATGGACTCGAAAGGGTAAGGTTTTTCTGTACATTTGTAGATATTCATCCAGACAGGGTAAACTGAGATTTTCTTCTACATTTGTGGATATTCATTCAGACAGTGTAAACAGAGATTTTCTTGCCCAAAAGATGCCCTGCTTCCCAGAGCCAAAGAATGCAGGGCTGGCAGTGGTGTCTGGCATATAGCAACACAAACCCAGCCACGTTTGTCCTCATAGAACAAGGTGAGCTCAAAGTAGTAACATTCATATTTGACAGTAAATGGAGCAGAAGTGCTTGTGGTGACCAAAAATGTACTTGAACTGTGTCTAATGTGCATTAGATCAGAGATAACATCGTGTCAATTGTCTGGGAATGCTGCAAGTTAAGTGGGGTTACTCGAATGGCATTGTCTGGTGACCAAAAAAATAGTAATATTCAGGATTACTGCAGGTTCCCAATAAAATCTACTTCTGATAAGTCTGTTGATTAAGAAAGCAAACATGCTACATTGCATACTTTAGTAACTAAACCCCAGCATCTATTCTCAGAATGTTTACCATTCCTCTCCCATATATATATATATGGCATCAAGTAGGAAATGGGTTTGCTCTTCAATGATCCCAATGGAGTTTTTAAGAACTGAAGTATTGCATTTGTTCTCAGGCCTAATTTCTTCTCCTTCCAAAAGAGATCATTGATCATCTCAATCTCCCCTGGTAGATGTATTTTCCTTTCTTCTTCCTCCTTTCCTCATATACTGCACAAAAGTCCCCTTTGCACTGCAAACACTAGTGGCCAAAAAGCAGGTCATGGTCACAGAGATGCTCATCATCCTCAGTGTAGTGCTACAATTGGAAAAGATACCTTTAACTACCTTAATTACTTGCCCTATCTTACTTTCTTTCTATCATCCAAAGGCACTACCAATAGAACACACTTTGTGCACTTAGGACACTTTTTGTCAAAAATTTATGCAGTGAACAGGGCTTAATAGTTTGTACCAACTGAATTGCAATGACAACCAGACATATCATAAAAAGTACCCGATACCTGTTCATGCCTGTCCTTTTTCACTATTGTACTGAAAAACACTTGCATGGTCATCAGTATGACAGTGTCATCAACAACAGGAACAGAGGGAACAGAGAGGATGTGGATTTTCCAGCCTTCATGATCTCAAATAGGCACACATACATATGCATCTATACAGACAAGTACAACTTTTATTTATCTCAGTTAAATATGCCCCTGTGAGTGGATTAATTAAAAAACATACAAAAATATTTTTTATTTTTAATACCAGTGGAAATTAAAGTAAATGAAAGCATCACTGGGGCAAGACAGGATTTCTACTTAGCCTGTTGGGACACTTCTGATTGCTCTGACCCACTGCTAGTTTAACAGTGTGTTTCAAAATCTGAGTGTATCCTCATTTTATCTCAGAGTATTTTTTCTTCTCCATTTGATTGTTTAGAAACCTTGTCTTAGTACATAAAGAAAAACTAAACTGAAATAAATGCATAGCAGGAATTCTCTATCTCCCTTTCTTCATTGTTTCCTTACGCAAATAAACTATAAAATCTGGTCCACAATGAAAACACACTAATACAGGGAGTCTGACATTTCAAACAACATTATTCAAGACAATGTAGAATGATGGCACTATGCTTGGGTTACATGGAAGTGGTTTGACACAACTGCCTTTTGCCTTAGCCTAGCAGCTAATTTAGGGAATAAGACAGACAACAGTAGCCTCTGTAAAAGCTAACTCATTAATCTTTCCAAGTATCTTGGTATCCAGGTATATTAGGAATTTTAAGAGATAAAAAATAAATTATGGAAAATTTACTGCATAAAGTTGATCGTTTCAAAACCTTTCTTCAGACAAGGGAGATGAATTTTCTATCCTGTGGAACACCTATTCACACAGAAACGAAAAGCAGTGCTTGGAAGGAGGGGTCTTGTACAAACTTTTCAGAAAATGTTCTGAATAAAGAACATTGATTCATTCAGGAAAAAAAATAAGGCCTAAATCTTTCTCAACCCTTCTAAAAGGTGACTTCTACCAGTTTTCACAGAAACCTAATGTTCCATTGTACAACCACAAAAAATTCATTCCCTTATTTCAGAAAGGTATGTGCTTCCCGAGGAAGAGCCGTGATTACAGAAGCATCAACCAATTTGATACTTGCTCTTCTGGATCAAAACAAATACTTTAAATCCATGATGAAAACCTTTTCCGTATCCTTGTTCTTCAAATTAGATTCATCATCAAAATCTCTAAAAATCAGCAGCAAACGTAATGGAGAGGTCCAGAAGTTGACCTCTGAGTGATAAGTAAAAAGAAGGAATTAGGAATAGAAAACAGAACATTAAGAAAACACCAAATAGTGAAACGCTAGACAGTCTGTTACCTCATCATCATCTGCATCATACTGTGCATAATGCTGCTCCAGCAGCTCTCTCTGGCGGCGTTCTTGTTCTAGAGTTTGGCTAATCAGCTGCGCAACCTCACTCACTTGTCCTGGTTTTTCCCGTCCAATTACAAACCTATATAAAACATAAGTGAAAAAAAGATTACTCCCATTGTTTACCAAACTTCTCGTTTTTTACCTGTGTGTAGGTTAGCCTTTTTCTCCAAAGATACAGACCTGTGATTGTCTCAAATGTGTTGTGTGGATGACATTTGTCAGAAGGGCATTGTGTGCGGGACTAGGAGTGATCAGACCATGACAGTATTTACAGGAGGGGGAAAATGGAAGTGACCACTAAAGCCTTCACTCCAGATTTCAGTAATTACAGACACAGACCCAGAGCAGGGCAATTTTAAAAATTATGTATCAGCACTTCCATTCCTTCTAGAGCCAAGTATGTCCCAGAAGGCTACATAAGACCAAATGCACAGTAACAGCACTGGCGCACTCCTCGCAGCTTGTAGTGAAAGGAACATGCACCAGAGAAACTCTTTTACATCACAACTGTTAAGATATTTCTGAGGTTTTATATTTGTCTTCCTCCTGTCTATAAAAGAGAATCTATTTCCACATTTTTAAATCTGACAGACGCTATTTCCTTAATTTTAAACTGCATTTAAATCTTTCTTTTATTACATGAACTTCTGTTGCTAAGGAACGTTTTTCTTCACTGTTAGCTACTGCTGAACGCTGAGAGCACATTTCTCTGGCTTAACAAAAGACAAGGGAAGTGTCTCTTTCTTGGTTGAGACTTAAAAGACTGCTTCCCAATCCATCTGAAACTCAGAATTGGTTTGGATTGCAACAGTGGCATAACCCAACTTAGATATGCTGCTGCTGATAGTACTAACAATAAACACCCATTACACAGTACCAACACACTGCAAACTACTGAACAAAAGTACAATTTAAAGGTGTCAAGCTGAAGGAGTATTTTCTTAGCTGGCTAGAAAGACAATGAAGTAATTACAGATGAAAGAAGTATTATGCAGAGCTGAAAAGCACAATAAGGTGACACTGAGATACTGTGTATGATAAATTATTTGTTTCCATAACATTTGGCTCAATTGATGAACGCAATTTTTTATTTGAATGAGAGGTATAAATGTGCATTATATCCCATGTATGAAAAGAATTTTCATCGGTACTGCCTATCACTGTTAAAATCCCTTGGGATTTGTTATCCATGTGCAAGCCAGCTTTACATGAGTGGATGATGCTAGGTCCATTTCTATGCCAAACAATTTTTCAGACTCTATAAAGTCAGGCACGACAGAGAGGACTACAATTTGGAGATTATGTCAACATCAAAATATCCAAGCCAGTAATTAATTCCAAAAGGATAAGAAAGGTGAGAATGAGTGACACCATTTGAAATAATGATATAAGGTACTCAGAAAATGATTTGCAAGAAAGTGGGTTAGCTTAAAAACATTAATAGAAAATACAGCAGAAACTAGAACAAAACCAAGGTGATATCAGCAGCATTTTAATCCTGATCAAAACAGATCATATCTGGCCCTCATATCCCACTATTACGAAATATGACATTTGTTCTCAGCAATGATAAAGACCTCGGGCTGAGAGAAAAAGAATTTTTCCTCATGGCCCCTACACTTCATCTGTTCTGCAAACTGACTCATGTTTCCTCTGAATTTTAGTTTTAGAGCCAAGTATTACAAAGACTAAACCAGTTATGTTTTCAGACTCAACTGGGAGGAACAATGAACTTTTGATATTACAACATGAAGTAAAAAAGGATTTTACCCGTATTTCCTACGTGTTTGTCTCCTCTAATGCAAAACCAAATTAAAAGTAAATATGGAAAAGAAAACCCTTCTATTTTAAACAAACATTTTTAAGCAATGTTATGCATGAGTGTCTTACTTAGACATAGTAGAGAGAGCACCACGTTTGTAAAGACATGAGGGAAATCACCAATGTGGCAAATTATGGAACCACACAAAACGATGCAAATATCATATTCCCTCTGGCCCTCTGCCTGATAATTCAGTTCCCTTGGAAAACATGAGACATCATTTTTACACACTGAAAACTTGAACAAGACAATATGCAATGCATCTGAAGTTTGGCAACTCATTTAACATTTAGGAGTGTTTTTGACACATTAGAATGTAATGCAATATTTTCATACAGACAAACAAGTTTAGGTAGGACATAAAAAAGTGAAACCTTATTAAGTGAATTTTTCTTCTCATGCCAAAGCCACTCACAGTTTACAGCACTGTGATTTTCAAGGCTTGAATCACATGTCAAAATGAAGTTCCTCAGTGATACCTGAAGCTGTTAGGTGATACATGAATAAAACCCTCCAAGCAATGACAAACTTTAAAGCAAATGTCTTCCAAAGTAGAAATATGTAAGGAATGTTTTATCTTCCTACAATTTACTGCTTTAGAGTGAGACATAACCAAAGTGTCTGCAAATAAATTTTCAGAAGCATTCAATCGATGATTGATGTCTGTTCTAGACAAAGAATTGAAAATTTGTAAAATGGAACACTACAAACTAAACCAAACCTATTGTCATGTTACATTCCATGACCTTGAGAATACCATGCTGCATACAATTATACTTCAATTCTAACTGAGAGAAGCCATAAATGCTAAAGCTACAATTCAAAGATGGATGAATAAATATTACTTTCTTAGCAAACCATAAAGCAAAGGCAGTTACTGAAACTCCTAAGTATTAATTAGATTTTTATGCGTAAAATGCCTTTCAATAGAAGAACTACCATAATTATAGGTATCAACTATCATAACTATCACTGGAATAGGTTCCCTGGAGAAGTGGTCACAGCACCAAGGCTGACAGAGTTCAAGAAGCATTTGGACAATGCTCTCAGGCACATGGTGTGATTATCAGGGCTGTCCTGTGCAGGGCCAAGAGCTGGACTTACGATCCCTCTGGGTTCCTTCCAGCTCTGAATATTCTGTGATTCTGTGATCATCTGAAGTGTTTAAATATGAGAAAGAGACACAAGGTTGTGATTCACTGGCCAGAAAATTAGTCACTGAACCGTAATATGCACACTTCAACAAGGTGGCTAATTACATATTTCCAATCACTCTGGCTCACCAAAATTAGTCACACGCATTTCAGACTTGATTAAGTAGTCTCAAGAGCCGAAAGTATTGTAAGAAAGAGGTATAAACTCTATCAGCAATAATACATTTAAGAAGCTGGTTATGTTTCTGGATATGAGACAAATGAGGGTTTTAAAGCCTTTAAGCCACATGACAATGAAATTCCCCTTAATTATTACAGCCAGCAAATGCAAAATAAAACCCAGTGAATCTGTGATGCAGCCATCACTGAACTAAATCTCAGGCCATTACTGATTATTTCTGATGTCTGCAAAAAAGAGAGAGAGGAGAGAGAAGAGGGGCATGAACTGACCTTGATATGCAGAGTTACATGCAATTTAGTTGAATTACCAGCTGTGAAATATTCTTTTTGGTTATGGTTAAAATAAGCAGGGACATATCTAGGAATACAATTAGTATTTGACTCTATCTAGGATTTAAGAACATCTAAACCAATCAAGTATCTTGAGAAATTGAAAGTTAATTACAGTAGTGGTGCTTAAGAAAAGCATTCTACTAAAATTGGCAGCAACTCCTACACCTCCTGCAATCCAGCTATGATTTAAATATTTTAAAGCACACCTGATACATAACTTTCTGCATATTTCCAGCCCTTATTAAATGAGGATCTGCAGACCTGTGCTTCTTGAAATAACAATGAATAACTTACTGATTCTTTTACCAACTATGGGAACCAGAAACATTATTATAAGAATTAATTAAATTAAAAAATATTTCCACTTTGAAAATAACTTTGGTACTAAAAAAATGTGCAAAGGCACCAACTCTGTAATCCAAAACTGAAGTACTGCTCATGGATTTTTAGTGACACGAGTTAATGACTTCTCCTGAAAATACTTCAGGCATTAAGTGTTCAGTTAAAAATAATTCAACATGGTTTCCTTGAATTCAACAAAAATCAAGTAACAATACAGCAAACTCATTCTACGAAATAAAGAATAGGTTTCTGCTGCAACAGGATGCAGAATTTTTTCTTCTAACCTTTCCTGAAATACAGTTTGGTCACTAAAAATGTACAGTAAAATTAATTGTATTTAGGGTACTTCTACAGTTGAATGCCCCATCCCTGGAAGTGTTTAAGGCCAGGGTGGATGGAGCTTTGAGCAACTTGGTCTAGTGAAAGGTGTCCCTGCCCATGGCAGGGGGTTGGACCTAGGTGATCTTTAAGGTTCCTTCCAACCCAAACCATTTTATGATTCTGTGATTTTAAAAATGCTTTTCCTCTGAGCTTTAGAGCTCAAAGCAGCTTCTGCTACCATTTATCTAATTTATTTCAAGATGTCTTCAATTACCTACTCTGGCTGTTTCCATTAGGATAATAGCCATATAATTAATCCAAAGTGCTAAAAGGGGTGAGAACCCTGTGAGAAGACAGTTTTATTTAGACACAGAAGCGCAGGCTGGAATTTGTCTGGTTTTCGTGAATAAGATCAACTTATCTTAAAAGACAGAAGTCGCAAATGCAAAATTCATTGACTGGATAAAAGTAATTCACAACCTATGAGCTTTCTTTACACTTCTTCGGATAAAAGTATCTGAAACTCATGAAGATTCTTCGTACAATTTAATAATTTAGGTTGGAAGAAAACTCTGGTCCACCCTATGCCCTGACTTCAAAGTAGGGCCAACTTTGTCATGGCCTTGATCAGAATTACCCTGGCTGCAACTTTTGTCCAATGCCTGTTATCTTGTCCCTGTACAAAATACAAAGAATTTGGACTCACCCTTTCTACCTCCTGGAAGATAGTTGAGACAGCAGTAAGATGCCTGCCATCCCATTCTTTTCTTTGGAGTGAAGATGTTCCTTCCACCTCTTCCCAGGGTGTTACCTGCACAGCTGCTCTCTAGCTCACAGTGCCACACAGATATACAGTGTTTCAGATGCAAGACTCATACCTGCCCTTGCGCCATCAGGTTTCTGTCAGCTAATATTTCCAGGCTGTTA